GGGTGGGGGGGGGGGGCTTGGGGTCAGTGAGAGGGTTTGGAGGGTCAGTGGAGGGTTTTGGGGGGTCAGTGAAAGGGTTTTGGGGGTCTGGGGAGGGAGAGGGGCTGGGGGGGTCAGTGGAAGGGAACTTGGGGCTCTGGGTTTGGGGGTTGCTCAAGGAAGGGTCAGTGGAGGGGGATTTTGAGGGTCTGGGGTGGAAGGATGCTCTCAGGGGTCGGTGGAGGGGGATTTGGGGATCAGGGCCAGGGGGTTGCTCGAGGAAGGGTCACTGGAGGGGGATTTGGGGGGTCTGGAGTAGACAGAGACTCTAGAGGGGCGTCGGGGGAGCTGCCAGCTCCTCATCCCAGCGCTCCCACACGGAGCCCCTCCCTGTGTCCTGGTCTTTCTGGGGACACCGCGGCCACACGGAGCCACCGAGCCGTGTCCTCCCTCCGAGGGGACACCGCAGCCACACGCCGGTGCCGCCGCGCCGCCCCGGGCTGTCGCCATGCCGCAGTGGCCGGTGCCACCTCGGGAGAGCCGCGGTGACCTGTCTGTCCCCTCCGTGCCCAGAGGACTTTGCCCAGGGATCCATCCGGCCTGGGGAGGGATGGGGGAGCGCGGGGGGAGCAGGGGACGGGGGGGGGGCCCTGTCACCACCCGCGGGGACAAAGTCCAAACAGCTCCGAGCCAAGGTAAAGCTGCAGGGACCGAGCTCGCAGCGAAAAACAGCGTGGGGACATCAAAGGGACCCTGGGCAGTGACAGCCCCGGTGGCTCCCCCCTCCTCCTCCTGCTGATTCTCCCCCAGCTCAGGGGATTGTGCAGAGGATCCTCAAATGGTCTGGGCTGGAAGTGACTTTAAAAATCCCTTTTCTGCCATGGACAGGGACAATTTCCACTATCCCAGGTTGCTCCAAGTGGGAGGAGCCACACGCCGGTGCCGCCGCGCCGCCCCGGGCTGTCGCCATGCCGCAGTGGCCGGTGCCACCTCGGGAGAGCCGCGGTGACCTGTCTGTCCCCTCCGTGCCCAGAGGACTTTGCCCAGGGATCCATCCGGCCTGGGGAGGGATGGGGGAGCGCGGGGGGAGCAGGGGACGGGGGGGGGGCCCTGTCACCACCCGCGGGGACAAAGTCCAAACAGCTCCGAGCCAAGGTAAAGCTGCAGGGACCGAGCTCGCAGCGAAAAACAGCGTGGGGACATCAAAGGGACCCTGGGCAGTGACAGCCCCGGTGGCTCCCCCCTCCTCCTCCTGCTGATTCTCCCCCAGCTCAGGGGATTGTGCAGAGGATCCTCAAATGGTCTGGGCTGGAAGTGACTTTAAAAATCCCTTTTCTGCCATGGACAGGGACAATTTCCACTATCCCAGGTTGCTCCAAGTGGGAGGTACCCAGGTATATACCTGGATATACCTGGGTATTTAGGTATCCAGGCTACCTAAAAACAGAGACCAAATAAAA